ACGCTCTTCTGTGTCAGCCGCGCTGCACGGATGCGCTGTTTTCGTTCAAATCAAAGGGTAAATACACGTAGAAACCGTATCCCTTTAATGTGAGCTACATATGAATATTTTAGTCCTTACATTAAAGTTCACACAAACTCTTTTCTCCGCTGTTTTTAATGCAAAGCGCTGCGTGCTGTGACTCCGTGTTGCTTCAAGATCATAATTATTTACTGAACCCTTAAATTAATCAATTATATAATAGGCTTGCTGCGATAGACTGTGTTGATGGTGATACCGGTGTTAAGCCGCAACACTCTACGTTTCTTATTTATTTGGTTATATTATACATGTTTACTTATTCCCAGTTTTGTATACCTATTAAACTTTATGTAAGTTATTTGTTGTTTTATATTAGGCGGCTTGCCCTATAGCATAGTGTATTTTTATTTGTTTTGTTAATAAAAGTTCTATGTTTTATATATAGGCTAAAGTGAGTTTGACGTTGTTTTTTGACGACTAAAAACAAACAATTGCTTTACTCCGAATTGCTGCTATTTTAAAGTGAAAGTCAAATGGGCACACCGCTTTTACAAGCTATTTAAAAGCGAAGGAAAGCGAGGAAAAGAGGGAATGCCCCGCCCCCGCGGTGATACCGGTATTACCGGTGTCGTCACACGCAGTTTAACCGGTGGGAAAATTTCCTCACCGACACAACCCTATTATATAATGAAAGCCATAAAAACAGACAATTAATCGCGATAATCGGCATAATCGTCAAAGCCCCAAAACAGACAATTAATCGCAATAACCTTGACTATTTTTAGACAATTAATCATCAGCCAAATTTCATAATCGTGACAGCCCTACTTACAATCACTGCCAGAATGTCCAACTTCACCATAATGAACTTAAAATTGGGTTCTATTATTTTTCCTCAACAGTTCTCCTCACAAAACAAAATTCATTTTAAACACAAATTTGATAAGAATAGTGGAAATTATTCTCATCACCAAAATAACAGCAAAGCTAATGTTTTGTGTTAGTTGAAGCACAAACTCAGAAAAGTAAAACCAAACCAAGCGATTATCGACAAGATATTTTTGACATATTGCCCAGCCCTGCTGTCTGTGTAAATGCATCTAATGTTTCCTCAGCAGTGGAAAGATAGTTTGTTAATACTAATTTCATTTGAATGGTAACAGCTCTACAGTTTCTTATTATTCTAACTGAATTAATTGAAACAAAGTAAGAATTTGATGTGAAAGATGACATTTAATAAGGTTGGGGGGGAAAAATGGCCATTTATAAACATAGTGGGAAATGACATCAGTTTTGTTACATACAGCAACTCATTTTAAGTTAACTATTTCTTCCTCTTTCCAGTCACAGAGCACTTTATTTTGAGAGTTGTTTAAGTGAGAGAAAATCTGTAACTTAGTCCAGATTGGGGGAATTGTAATGTTTAATAATTTCTTGTATTATGTAAATAATTGTTTGCAAAATTATTTACATAAGTTTGCATAGATTTTTGTTTGTATATGATGTCAATTATAGTTCTTAGAAAGAAAATCGGAATCGGCAAAAATCGGTATCGGCAGGTCACACTTCCAAAAAATCGGAATCGGCCAAGAAATTTGCAATCGGTGCATCTCTACTTTTCTTTCCTACCAAGCAAATAAGACTTTCTTTTATCTTCAAAACTCCAGTTAATATATTTTGAATGAAGCCTGAGAGTTTTCTGTCTCTCCATTTTTTTTTAAATCAATTCCACCAAGACTGACATTTCAAAAATTGGTTTGCAGAAGTAATCCATATGAATCAAGCTGTTGAACCCAATTTTTTTTCTTGGAGACATGATCACTGCATGTAATAAGCAGATATAATTTAGGATTTTATTCACGCGTAAATATTAATAGGCACACTTACATGGAGCATGTTAAATGATAAACGGACTCTCAAACATGTTTGATGCACAAGAACAAACTTGCAAAGAATGCTTTTATTCTTTTTTTTTTTTGTTGTTGTTGTTGTTGTTGTTGTTGTTGTTTTTTTCCTCTTTTCAGTTCAAGGAGATTAGCTTTGCATATGAAGTACTAACTAACCCAGAGAAGAGGGACTTGTATGACCGTTATGGTGAACAGGGTCTGCGAGAAGGTGGCTGTGGAGGAGGAGGGATGGATGACATCTTTTCCCATATCTTTGGCGGAGGTCTCTTTGGCTTCATGGGTGGACAGGGTCGGAGCAGGAACGGAGGGCGGCGGAGAGGGGAAGATATGGTCCACCCCCTGAAGTAAGTCAAATCACAAGGCTTCCACTTTTAAAGAAATGTGTGTCGAAATGCTGTTCTCTGCTGTCCTTTAGCGGTCACATTGACCTCTTTTCTGTTTCCTCATCCCCTCGCTGTTGCCAAGCACATATATACCAACTTCTTAAGAAGCTTTAAATATGTCACTATGGCTTTATTTGGTGTTGCATCATAATATTGTGGAATATTCCAGAAGAGCTTACTCTCACTTTTTCCCTGTAGGGTGTCTCTTGAAGACTTGTACAATGGAAAAACAACCAAATTACAGCTGAGCAAGAATGTTCTGTGTAGCACTTGTAATGGGTGAGTAAGTTTTTTCACTTTATGGGTGTTGGCATGACAATTAAGGAGAAAGAGCTCTGTAATGATGAGCTTCTCAGTTTCTTTTTGTCCCACCACACCCAATCGGTTCAATACAATCCTACGTTTTATGAGTCACATTTACATTTAGACATTTACATTTAGTCATTTTGCAGACGCTTTTATCCAAAGCGACTTACAGTTGGAGAATACATAAAGCGATTCATCTTAAAGAGGCAAACAGACACAGGCAGTGCTTGTAATACCAAGTTTTAGGCATTGTTCAAATAAGTACAAGCTAGAAAGGGAAGGAATAAATAAAGAGAAAGACACCGGTTTTTTTTTAAATTTTTTTATTTAAGATGAAGTCAAGTAGAGTTGAAAGAGAAGTTTTCAAATAAGGATTCAGCATAGAGGTCTGCACGGGCTTTAAAGTGAAGCCCGAACCCGGCCCGTACCCGAGATCGTCTGACCCGACCACAGTTAAATTTAGAAAACCCGAAATCTTTTTTTTTTTTTTTTTTTTTTTTCCCCACAACGAATAGCCAGTTTTAAAAAATGCTGTATTTCACGATTGCATGCAACGGTCAGTAAGCAAATACATGTAAAGAAACAGAATCATTAAGGCTCGGCCAGTTCACAAGGCAAAAGAAAAAAACACTTACCAGTTATGAAAGTTTTACGAACATCAGGTGCAGCGGTCACATAAATTCTGCCAAGAGAATGGTTGTATACGACAAGACGATAATTCTTCCATCGTGCAAATTATGGTCATTTTCGTCAGTTAAGGCTCGTTAGCATTCGGCCTGCTTTAAATCAGACACAGAGATGCAGTGCGGTAAGATTGCATTTATTTGAATTGGCGTGCGCGCGAGAGAGAGAGATGAAAGTTGTGTGTGTGAACCTGCGTCTGCGCGTCTCTCTCTCTACAAGCAATGAGGCTTAGTTCCTTCAAAAACAGCGATTTTACCCCCTCATTGCAGAGAAATATAACGTTGCGAGTCAGTAGCCTGTCAAAGCTATTTTACTAATAAAAGTTTCTGTGCTGTGTTGTCGTGTGCTATAATGTGTGTGTGTGTGTGCGTGCGTCTATCAAAGCAGTAGCCTGCATATAGTTTGTTTAGCTATAAACCCGAGCCCGACCTGAACCCGAAGCTATTCATTAAACATTAACCCGAAAGCCATGCCGTACTGAGCCGTGCCGAGCCGAGTCATACCACGCAGTGGAAAAACGCCATAAGTTCTACAGATGGTGGTGCCAGGAGCAGATTTGGTAGCGCTGGGGGTGGTGTGCGGGAGTATTAAAATATAGATAATTTAATCATAAAATTACTATTGTTTTGCAAGTGCAGTTACTAATAATATTTTGTTCATTTCTTGTTTATTTTTCTTTTGTTTATTGTTTATACAGATTTGACAGTAAAGCACTAAGTTTGCGTTAAGATGCATACAAAATGGACTTTTATTAACAACAGTAATGGGTGCAAAATCTAATTTTTATATAGAAAATATATATATTCCACTCTTATTAAATGTACCATTATTATTCTAGTATATGGAACTGACCAACTTCAGTGATTGTGTGATTTAGTAGCAAATTGAAGAAAAGTTTTTCAAGGCACTTTGTGACTTTTCTTTCTTCATACACAGTGTAAAATTCTGACAAAATCTGATTTCTTGATGATTTTATAATAGTGATTTTATAATTTAATTTAGTTCATCATTTAATTTTAATTTAATTTAATTCAAAATATAGAGAAAAAGTAGAAATGAATGACTAATAAGCCAATAAGTGCTCCTCTGCTGCTGTCTACTGGTTATAATTGTGATTTGATGTATTTTTTTAAATTTTACATAGGTGTTTGTTTACCACAAAGTATATTTTGGTCATCCCATTAAAAGTAACATTCAAACTGGATAATATTAGAGCTTTAAAGTGCTGGAAATAGTGTGAAATGTTTCAAAGTAATTGAAAAGTGCTTGAATTTCTCTCTCAAAAGGTTGTACAAACCCTGAAATGAATAATGTAATGCATTCGACTATTTCTACCACAACACCATGGTTA